ATAAGGGTGGTTATTTTGATATGCGTTTTGGACCCATTAAGGTTTTTGGTAGCAACATGTATATGTTTTGCTAATTATAATTTTTGTTATGTATTTTTTTAAAAGAAAGCTTTAATCAATTCACTGGCATGAATATGATCTGTTAAATATATTTCACAAACAATTGCCTCTATTTAATCATAAGTTGCTGCATTTTTACTATTACTGCATATGAAATAAGACTTATACTATGTTTTTGTCAATAAAGTTTCTATCATTTACCAAGAAAAAATATTATTTATTCATTATTATTCATTATTATTATTATTATTTTGCTGAAACATCACTTTGCTATTATGAAAACATATATCAATTAAGGTTTTCGATTAAAAAAAAAGTAACGAGTATGCTACTTCGGAAACGCATAAGAGAAAATTAATATACAGTAAACTAACATAATTTACATTGTTTTTTAAAACACTATCGAGGAATCGCTTTAGATTAAAAAACATAATGAGTTTGCATTTTTGTTATAACTATCCTACATCAAATATCAAAGAATAAATTTATTAAATTTATCATTCAACATAATTTTTTAATATTTTCATCATGGCCATGAAAAATTTATCAAGTTAATTTAAAATAATGGCTCTAAAGCAGGTCACATGAAAGTTTATGACGTGGATTCTAATTATTGTGTCTTTTTCCATTTAATAATTCATAAGCCAGATTAATATTTCAATAAATCGTGTGGGAGAGAATCTGTTACACACTGTAATAAGTTCCCATAATAAAAAATATCAAAGAAAGCGCACAGAAGAGTATTTACATAACAAAAGTTGCAAACAGTGCAAACTTCTTTGATAAAAAACACGTAATCAAATGAAACAGAGAAAAACAGAATCCCTAAAAAAATTAACTCGACAAAATTGAAAATGTTGCAGACTCGGCTTGATTGGGCCTATTTATGGACGGTTGTGACAGTTGCAAACTACCGTCCATGCCCCGTAGCACCGGTCAAAGCAGAATGCAACATTTATTCATGATAATGGTGAAATCATCCGTTGATGTGTTCATACGGCGGTTATAGCGAAATCTTTAATTTGACACTGTCGTGTCATTCCATGAAAAGCGGCGTACTTTTCCCTAATTACAATAAATGCGTGGGCCCTAAACGAAAAACAATGGGCGGAACTAGATATAAAAGAATTTTAAATGGAATGTCAAACTTGACATTTTATATTATATAAGCAAAGGAGTCTGTAAAAGCATTACTATATGTACATGTCTGTCATGAACGAAACTCTCACACCAGAAGACACCTACGATCATTGGAAGTAACAGACTACTGCTTTTGTTCTCAGTAGACTGAATGTGTTTACAAAGAGCGTTATAAGTATTTTTCATGAATGATCCTGCTAGTCAAATAAGTTCCAAATATAGTTTTGATACTGGATTACAGCTGTCGATGGTGATTTTCTAGTAGTGTTGTTTTATTTTATTCCTTGTGCTATATATGAGATTACAGAAGTTAATAAAGTAGAAGAAAAACCTCTGAATATTCATAAAAACAAAGCAACTACGTTAGCATATTTGATCAGTTACAATATACATATACAACTTGAACTGATGGCCTGATGGTAAACATGCCTTAGGGAGTGAGGAGGGAGAGGGGTCGTTCACGGGTCACTTGATTGTTTTCTTATACATATGATACCGTACTAATTAAATCTAAAAAGCGATAAGAGAGTTGTTTCAAATAATCTTCATGCTTTTATCGCCATTGAGCATTTTAAAACAAAACATTTTTAGAAATATAAGGATGAATTGCTTGATATTTCATGATCAATGGGGAAAATATTGTTAACACTGAAAAGGAACAATAATTTCCAGTGAATTATTAATTGACAATAAATCGTATAAATATGACAAAAATCGATAAAAACACAAAAGCATATGCACTTGAAATAGTTCGATATAATGCATTTTCCGGAAAATGTAATACAAAAGTATAATAATATATTGTTTTTTTCTTGGGGGGGGGGGTCTTTGATGTTTTTTGTTGTTGTTGTTATTTTCCAACTCAAACAGTTATCTTATGTTCCATTCACACACCTGAATTATTCTTATTGATCTATCCGGTGAGGTGAGAAAAATAAAAAATAACGTGTTGATATTCTCTTCAGTTGCAATGAGGTCGTATTTCACCTATCTCTGGTAGTTAATGATCTGGGCAAAACTTATCTGTTGAAGGAAAGTTATTCATTAAACGAAACGAGTGTTTGATTTTATTATTTCATTCTAGAGAAATGCGTTCTAATATTCCTTTATGTAAAGTGCAGTAACATTTTTACATTAAGCCTGATATATTCTATGATATATCTATGATCTTTTGGACTTTCAATGGATTTTACGGAAAAGGTACATAGATAACTTGGTAATGTAATTTCGTCTTAAAAATCAGCTTGTTTTAGATATGGACATACAACTATTACTGAATACCGCACGGTGTATGACTGATATAGTGTTGTATTTGATAAAAAAAAATTGAAATAAAAAAAAGGATGTGCGCTTATTCTTTTCTCTTCATACGTACATTGCATTCTATGCCTTGGAAGACAAAGATGTTTATTCCGGAGAAGCGTTGCTAGAGAAAGGTTTGATTTACAGATTTATTGAGAAGTCTTACTTAAGGAAAGGACGATTTGATACTGTTAATGTTTAGAGGTAACCGTTGTTACTGTACAGAAGAAAGCTCTTTCATAGGAACCTTTGTTAATTTCGTTCAAATCCCTCATCTTATTACTGCAAGACGAGAAACCTTAAAGAATTAACCGTGTATTTACATATTTATAATCTATTCAACATACATTTTGTAGTAATTATCTCAGTTCTAAACATCAGTTAGTTGATGTATACACTTAAACTTTGCCATGCTTGCATCAGTAGTGTTTATTTTACAAAAATTACAAAATTCATACTTTAAATCGAGGATAGCTATAGTGTTTTTTTTACTATTGTACGGTATTATTGTAATAATTCAGCTTAATTATTTCATTTTTAACGATAGTTGTGTGTTAATTAGATGTGGGTTATTAATTTTACGGAATGTGAAAAACCGCATCGATATAAAAACATTATTTTCACAAAATTCTTCATGAAATAGACGGAAGACGAAAAAAATAACACTTTCGAGGAATCGCTTTTGATGTGGTCTTACTACACATCACTGATAGAAACAAATTCTGAATATCTAGATATTAAACTTTTTATCTATTGAAAAACATAATGATCCTGTATTTTGTTATAACTATCCTGCATATAAATCTATTAAATTTATCATTCAACATAAAATTTTAATATTTCAAACATGGTCAGGAACAATTACTCAATTTGGATTAAATTTAAAATTATGGCACAAATGCAGGTCACTTGAAAGTTTATTGCGTCGCTTCTAATCAATGTATCGTCACGTCTTTTTCCTCTTAATAATTCATAAGCCAGATTAACTTCCAATAAATCTTATGGGAGAGAATCTGTTGTAAAAACAATTCAAGAAAGCGCCAAAAAAGTATTTTGATAAATTTCAAAAGATCAAAACTGACATTGTTTACTGTCATTTAAATCTTATGTCATATTGAATTGATGAATATTTCTTTATAGTTCGCATGTAAGGTCTACTTTGAAAATTAAAATTATTTTATCCAAGAAAATCAAATTTAAAGAATAAAGTAAATCATACTGCATAGAAGAATTACCTATACAGTGTACCTATCTACATGTTTTTATCAATTTTAAAGAGAAAGAAAGAAGTATCTTTATATCATTTTTTCGTGTCCCTTAAGTTAATTTTCTTTTCTTTTATTTATTTTTTTATTTATATTTTATTTCATTTCAGCGCTAAATTCAACACTCGATAAATAGATATTATTGACCGATTAGTTTGTTTGATTAATTATCCATACCACAAAAATTACAAACTACACAATTTCTTTGAACATTATTGTAACCAAACTTGACATTTTATATTAAACAAGCAGTGGAGCCTGTAAAAACATGACTATGACTCTCATTTGATTTTCTTTAACGTCAAACAAATATGAACGAACTCTCATATACGAGAAGGCATCTTCAATCATTGGAAGAAACAGACTATTGTTTTTTCGTCGGTAGAATGGACGTATTTGCAAAGAGCTTTAAGCAGAATTCTTCATGAATGAACCAACCAGTCAAATAAGTTCCAAATATAGTTTTGATATTAGATGACAGCTGTATGTGGAGATTTTCCAGCTGCAGTGTTTCCTTTTGGATTCCTTGTGCTATATATGGGATTAGAGAAGTAAATAAAGCAGAAGAATATGTAAAACCTCTGAATAGCAACTACGTTAGCATATTTTATCAATTATATACCAGTTGAACTGATGGCCTGATAGTTAACATGCCTCGAGGGGTGCATTCAAGGGTCACTTGAATATATTTCCTTATATGAAACCGTATTAATTAGTTCTAAAAAGCGGATTATAGAGTGGTTTCAAATAATCTGTAAGCTTTGGTCGCCATTGGACTTTGTTAATGCATTTGAAAACAAAACATTTTTAGAAAGATAAGGATCCATTACTAGATATTTTAATGACTTAAAAGTATGCTCTATGGAAAAATATTGTATATACTGAGAATGAACAATAATTTCCAGTTAATGGGAAGTAAATCACATAAATATGATTAAAACTCGATAAAAACAAAAACTTATGCATTTGAAATATTTCGATATCATGCATTTTCCATAAACAACTAATACTTAATTGTTCCTTAATTATTTTTTCTTACTAAAAGAGTTATCTTATGATCCATTCACACACCTGAATTATTCTTATTGATCTATCCGGTGAGGTGAGAAAAATAAGAATGCAAGTGTTGATATTCTCTTCAGATACAATGAGGTCGTATTTCACCTATCTCTGGTAGTTAATGATCTGAGCGATGCTTATCTGGTCAATTACCAATTGGAAGGAAAGCTATTCATTTAACGAAACGAGTGTTTGATTTTATTATTTCATTTTAGAAAAATGCGTTCTATATTCCTTTTTGTGGAAAGTGCACTTACACTTTTACCTATGGGCTGATATATTATTTGATAATTCTGTGATCTTATGGACTTTCATGGGATTTTATTCCTTTTTGTGGAAAGTGCACTTACATTTTTGCCTATGGGTTGATATATTCTTTGATTATTCTATGATCTTATGGACTTTCATGGGATTTTATGGATGAATTACGGAGACAAGTTGGTAATGTAATTTCTTCTTAAAAATCAGCTTTGTTTTAGATATGGACTGACAACTATTACTGACTAGCGCACGGCGTATGACTGATATAGTGTTGTATTTGATGATAAAACAATGTAATACATTACATCTAACTTAATTCTAAGCTGAAATACATTTGTTTTATTTCAAGTATTTTGAATAAAAACAGTATTCAATGTTGGTTTGAGATTTACAAATATTAAATTAATCTTCAAGAAATGTCAATGAAGAAATGTGAAGATAAGCTCACGCATTGAACAGATATTTTGTTAAATAATCGTAACCATCTTTTACTAGCATCACTGATTATTCTTATTCGAATAATAAAAAAAATTAACAACATATCACACCTACCTTTATAGTTAAAAAGTTGTTTAATTATAAAAGTGTTGTAAACTGAATGTTCAGTTGAATAATGTTAATACAAAAGTATGTTTTGTTATGTTGCCTGCTTTTAAAATTTTGTCTTTTGACGTATTGTCTGTGATACGCAGGCTTCATAACCTCAGATCCCCTTTCAAAATTCCATTTCATTAAGTTATCCCTATTGTTTTCTCGTTTAGGGCACACGCATTTTTTAATCGGGGACCATACCCCGCTTTTCATGGAGGGGCACTAACGTGTCGCATTGAAGGTTTATTGAAACCGCCGTAAAAACACATCTGCGGAGGTTTCTAAATTCATATTATCAGAGATTCTGTTTTTCTCTATTTTGTTATCTATTTCTAAATAGAAAAGAAATGTTGTATTCAAGAAAGAAAAACAGACGCCGTTACATAAAACAACAAGACACAAAATGCTTTCGAAATACGTATTTGGCAATGGAACTGATAGTGTCAACTAAGCAGTTGTTCATTTATGGTATACGCGTATGTGAAATTATATGTAAAATTATCGGCTATTTGCTGTCATTTGATGTAATGTTTTATAAGCCAAGCCTTAGCTAAATAACAGCCCTCGCAAACAGTTTGCTACTTAAAAAGACGCCAGCTCAAGCTGTTCAGCAATCACCAATATTCAAGCAGTCGACAATTTAAGCAAAAAATAATTTTCCCAGCATGCAAAAGGCTAAATTATTGATAATCATATGTAAGTAGTTGTCGAAGTCTGATCTTATCATGTGTCTCGTCTTTGCTCATAAATATTGTCTTATTGTTTTGAACCATTTACATACAGACACCGTTCATTACAAAGAAGAGCTGCTTTTTTCTGTTTTACTCTGAAAGAATTTTAAAAATAAGGGTGTTTTGTATTAAAAAGCAAACGTATGTAAAACTAAAATTGCCTTGTTTTGGTTTGTCTATTACAACTTGTTGCTATTAAAAGATGTGTCCGTAACAAGAATGTTTCATCTTATGTGATACTGTGATATAATTTAACGACATACAATAAAAAATAGGATGTGCGCTTATTCTTTTCTCTTCATACGTACATTGCATTCTATGCAGGATAATAGCCTTGGAAGACAAAGATGTTAACTACAGAGAAGCGTTGCTTGAAAAGGGTTTGATTTACAGATTTATTGAGAAGTCTTACTTTAGGAAAGGAAGATTTGATACTGTTAATGTTTAGAGGTAACCGTTCTAACTGTACAGAAGAAAGCTCTTTCATAGGAACCTTTGTTTACTTCGTTCAAATCCTTCATCTTAAAGCTGTAAGACGAGAAGCCTTAAAGTTTTCCTCGTGTATTTACATATTCATAATCTATTTAACATATATTTCGTGGTAATTATCTCAGTTCTAAGATGTTAGTTAGTTGCTGTATACACTCAAACTTTGCTATGCTTGTATCAGTAGTGGTTACTATGAAATTTACAAAAAAAATCTTTATATTGAGGATAGATATAGTGTATTTTTGAACTATTATACTGTATGAGTAAAAAAAGGCTATCACAAAGAAGAATAATTATTCCATTTATTAACGATAGATATTTGTTAATTAGATAGATTAAAAGTTATAGCTCTAACACTGATAATATGGGATATTAATTAACTGCATGTGAAAAACCGCATCGATTATTCTTAAAATTCTTCAGGAAATAGACGGAAGCTTAGAAACGTAAGAATTTATGTCAATTTTGATTAATAAAACAGAAAAGCATATTCAAAAGGTAAAGAGGCGAGGAGAATCTGTTTTAATTAGCAGTTTCTTTACTTATTAGAAGTTCTTTGAGCATTCTAGTATTTTGTTTTGTTTTGTGGTTGTTTTGTACAAAAGTACACACGGAGTATTTTATAGTTTTCTTCCACTCATAAGCTAAAGGAGGCCTGATTTTGCATAACCTGTTATATATTTTTTTTTCTTTGTATGCATTGTAATCTCAAATGAACAGGCAAATAACACTATAATCAAGTAAAACACATTGTGATCAATATATATTTTATGAATTGATTTATAACTAATTATTATATATATCTAGAATATGTAGAACAAAAATATATTAATTGTTCGTTCTTAATCTTGGTATATGTATATTTAAATGTAAAATGTATGACAAAAATGTTTTGTTTATAAATGGACCTATCTGATTAAACCGACAATGGATTTGAAGAAATAGTGGAATATACCTGGAAAATTGTCTTAGTGATTTGTTTTTTACAATATTTGTTTGCATTAGAACCAACAAAATGTTGCAATCATTAAAAATGAGCGCACAGATGATTTCAATTTATTTTAATTTTGAAATGCTTTTACACATCATTTAAGTGGTATGAATCAAGTAAGTAATAAAATATTTCGGATCAATAAAATATTTCGAGTAAATTATAATGGCTGGAAATATTTTTTTCTAAAATACAGAAATGTCTTCAACCAGAACGAATCATTCAATATCAGAAAACAATCAGCAAAGATGGAGGCGTAGTAAGATAAGAATAGCTTCATTTGTTTTATCTTTTCTGCGATAACCTTTAGTCTATTTTTACAATCTATCTACATCAAAACAATGAGAAAGGAAATCATGCATTTCGGCTGTTATTTACACATCAAATACAAATGAAAGAATGTCTAAGGCATTTTTGATATATCACACTATGTTACTTCAAATAGTTAACAATAGTGGAACATTCGACCAATCCACAGATGAGTATTGCGTTGAGTAAAGTTGCGTTTACTTTCCAGATATTATAACGAGTGATTTTAAAATTTATTAGAAAAAAATGTCAACGGGTGGTCACTGTTTGGTGAGTTGTTGACAGAAACGTTTTATACTTGATGTAAGGTGGGTCTATATTTATTTGTAAACAATGTCAACGTGTAGAAAGTTTGGTGGGATCAATTGCATCTGAATATCACAAAAAAAAATTGTCTATTCCTTATAGTAATTTATTTAGAAAATAAGATAGTTAAATTGAACGATACACTATTTTTCGGCGTAGTACTTTTAATGTTTGCATCATCAGATAAAGGCTAACTTTCTTGCTAAAATGTCTTAAATATATTTTGTTAAGAAATTGATTGTAACACGATTTTTTTTCTTTTTTTCTTTTTTTTTTTTTTTTTTTGTAATATCTTAAAAATATTATTTATTCAGAAAGAAACGCAAATTGTATCAAAAGTTGAAAAGTCTGAATTTACGTAAAATACCAGAGAATTTTTAACAAAGTAAATCATAAGACTGATTATCAATTGGCAACTAATCCTAAAAAAGAATTAGATTAATTCAGAACAATCAAAGTGCAGATCAAAGGCAGTATGCAAAGGTTATCTTCTTTGACTGACGTTATTCGTAATGCTAAGATACGTTAATTCCTAAAGCTCAAAATAAACTAGACCACAGAATTCAAAAACAAAGACTACTTTTTTGAACTGTAATGTATTGCAAATGGTTACGTGCTTGTACTATAAAATCAAGCCATAGAGATTTAAAAAAGAGCACATTTTTGAAACAAAAGGCAAAGATCTAAAGACGTTGTTTGAAAGTAAAATATTTAGCCTATATAAAGCTCGACTTTGTTATTCTATCATTTAGGTTCCTTTTTTGAACAATGTTGTAGGAGGTAAACATCAAAGTACGCTACACTTTCTTGTGATTCATAGTCAGAAATAGGGTGATCCTAATTGAACAAAGTATTGATTTAGTTTCAGAGTGTTAGAAAAGGATATATACATATATATAAACGATAAGAAATTCGAAATTTTCAAGAATGCTTAGAACATCAATAATTCTCAAACACATCATGATGTATTTCCTTACCTGATTTGATATGTAATTGTTGGAAATGCTTGATGCCTTTTGATTCTTATTATTAAATTTAAAGTAAAAAGTCTAGAGGCAAAATATAGCGTATATCTTAATTTTCGTATTTTTATATATTGCGACTTAAGACGTTTTATAATTTTGCAATTAACTTGATTTCCATGGTTGGTCAACATTTCATAGTATAAATGTAAACATTATCTCTTTGTATAAGAAAACTGTACTCTACTATCTAAACTTTTATGTTTTGTTAAAGAATTATAGGTCAGATAATAAAAATATATTATATTTAATGGTTTATTACAAGCCTTTAAAGTACGCATTTTTGTTTTTGTTTTTTTTAATGTGCTGCAATTTTGAAATTTTAAGTTTTTGCCGAAATCCTATAAATGTTATGAATTTTTTCATTTTATAAAGAGAATTTTGATAATATTTAAAATTAATCCAGTACGCAAAATTTCAACACATGTTGTAGTAAATGTTCATAAATTTTACACTTTGTTACAAATTCTTAAATGTTTGTTAATTGTTAGTTTGTACGAGAAAAAAAAATCTTTTTTTTAAATATTGTGGCACATTTCAAATGACTACACTAATGTACAAGTATTTATGAATTGCTTAGGAGAACACCACATCACAACACAAATTAGCACATTTCGCTTTAAAACTGGGATGAAGATGTGTCATTATGTTAAACGTTTAACATTTTACAGTTAAAAGTACATTACGATTATGTCTAATCATAAAACAAAATTGTAAGTGCATGACATAAATGCTCTCGATTCATACGATTATATTTTATTTTGATAACATATCTTGTTTCGTTTTTTTTTGTATTTAAAGCGGCGAAACATGTAAAGATCATAATATGCGTGAAATGCGTATTAAACATTCCCTCGCTGATTCTTTTGTAAGAGATGTCTTTTTTTGTTGCTATAGGAAACAAATGTCATTTCTCGCCATGAAAATCGTATCATTATTATAATTGAATGTACCACATTCGTTTCGTAATGAAACTCTTATGATCCATTGTACAAAGTATAATAGTTCATGGCTATGACAAACTCTGGATAAATATAAAATTGGTGATTAAAGTTGTCGTAAAAACAGAAATGGAAGTTTTGTTTGGATAATAAGGTATGGTTCATTAACCTCACATATATATATATGTATATATTATAAAGTGCATGTCTAAAATATTTTACATGTTTACTATGATATTCATAGAAATATAAAATTTAGACAAATTTTGGGCAATATTATATACGACAAATTTTACTTGATATCCTACCTTTGCATGTTTTTTTTTAAATTTTAATATAAGGATTGCTGATCGCGTTGGTTCAAACAATGTCAGGGGGTAAACCGTTGTTTTTTCTTAGATTCATTGCTATGTACTGGTTGGTTCCAGGAACGGATTCTAAGCTTATAGCTATCAACACAATCGAATTAAAATAAATTTGTATAAACAAAAGCTGTTATAGATAATTTCTAAATGCATCACTGTATAATAATATAACTGTTCATAAGCTGTATAATTATATGTCCATACTTTACATACATGCTACATATTTGATAAATAAATAGGGCAACCTATATAGGGCCTAAAACATATTGAGATATACAATGTACTTGTAATTGTATTTTTGGATTCTTTGTTAAAGTTCTTTTTTTAAAACATCATTAGCTTATGAAAACATTATAATTCAACAGTAAATTTGCCAGTTATATTTGTAAACCCTTTCAACGTTTTATTATCATATTTCTGTTCATGCAGTTAATTTGCAGATATCATACTTATTTTACGTATATTATGTATATACTAACATTAATGGTGGGCTATTACAATATTTAGACTATGTATTCACAATGCGTTAAATTTCAATTTCAATTTACCTACAGTTGAACCCTATACAACCGGTCAAAATACTTATTGTACTGTAATGTACTTTTCTGTATCATCAATATTACTTGCTTTGAACAGATCTTAATAATTTGGGTGTTATTTTTTCACTCAGTATCTTGGTTAAAGGCGCATTATACCCAAAAACCCAAAAACTGCATGATTATTTTGTCCTTAACAAAGTGCAAACACGTGTTTAATAATGTTTAAATAATGGATTAAAAGCATATTGGTTGCTTATTACCGGAAGTAAGTAGCGCAGAATGTAAAATAAATAAAACATTACAGTAACAAAACGTAAAAAAAATGGTATTATAGCATGAATATATAAAATAAAGTTTTCGGAAGTATCACGGGTACTAAAAATGAGAAAGAAAGAAATAAAGATATAATTATTTGGTGGTTTATGGACCTTGAAATTTTGCGTAAAGGATATTTAAATGGATTAATTTTAAATATGATTATTAAACCTCTCTTTATATTATTGCATTTAAATGGTTTAGAATTTCTAACAACCAGTAAAGTAAATTTTGGGAGTATTTTGAGTGGTTATGAAAATGGTAATGAAAACGTATGTAACTTGTTACTTACCAAAGTCATTTATATATTTCAGACTGGCCGAAGGTGGATGTTTAACGTCACAATCATGATGTAATAAAGTTAGAGTTTATTTGGCAGAAGAGTCCATCTACCTCAAGAGTATGCAATGTGCGATATAACAGTCTGAAACAATGACGGTAGCAAATATGACGTCGAATGTGACGTCAAATAATACGTCATATGGAAACAGTAATTCCAGCAACGCCCTGTGCAATGAATCGCTAATTGAAGAAGCAAGGCGTGAGCTAATGGGGATCAATATTTACCCATTTGTATTTGTGATTTTCTATATGATCATTGGATTCACTGGAAATACTATTGTGATTTATATATTTACATCAAAATGGAAATTAACAAAGACGACCATTTTTATTTTAACACTTGCCGGTGTTGATCTAATGTCATGCATGGTCAATATGCCCACAGAAGCCGCCATATTGTGGAACCCTTTGAATTTTGATTATGACGTCATCTGTAAAATTTCACGATACATGACTTTTACGGCAACCGTTTCATCGACATTTGTCTTAGTGGCTATTTCTATAGACAGATATCTTATGGTATGTCGACCATTTTTCGGCAGAGAGTTAGGTATTCAGTACGCAAAGAGGACATGTCTTACAGCGGTCCTGCTCGGTCTTTTTCTGTCATGGCCGTCACTTATATTTTACGGAACTTATACATATGACGTTGAGGTAGAAGATAGCATTACAAATAAACTTGTTAAAGTTGAAGCTAAAACATGTCTTATATCAAATTTTTACGTCGATCATTACAAGTTACCAGCCGGATTCTACTTCTTTTTGTTTGGCGGACACATCATAATGTTCATCATATTGACGATGGTTTATCTACTTATTGGACGCACTCTTTTTATGTCAACCAGCACTGACCTTACTGACGAACAAAAGCACAGTCTAAGGTATTTTGGCATAAGCATGATGTCTGCATTCACCGGAACCGTGCCAAATACTCCGGCGGATAACCGCGAGCGTTTGAGCTGGTACGGCAAAACTTCACGCTCGGTTTCACTCGAAAACATAAATCGTCTGGACATGAAAACCCTAAACGATCTGGCAAGGCCTCAAGCCAGACAAAACAATGAATCTTCTGTTAGCATTGTAGTGAACGATATTGAAAAGGAAAATAAAGAAGAAGTTAAAACTGAAAATATTACAAATCAAAGAAGAAGGTCGTTACAATTAGATGATGTTTGTAGTGAATCAGACAAAAGGTCAGACAAAAGGTCAGACGATTCACTAGATATGAAACGTAATAATCTTTGTAAGCAACAAACTACTTTTGACACAAGCGCAAACGGAACTCCTTTTAAAACACCCAAAAACGAAAAGAATCCGAATGCAAAATTGCTATATTTAGAAATCGATAACAAAAATAAAATCAGAGATGGTCGCCTTTCATCAGGGTCTACAAATAGTACAAATAGTTGCCTTACTCCAATGACCCCAATGTCTGCTGATAGTGTCAGAGGAATTCTTTATCGAAGTCAAAGCATAGAAAGTAGGTCAAGACTGAACCGAATTATCTCCGATGAACTTACAAACGCAGAAGTGAAAGAGTTCATTTTGCGTAGGAATACGTTAATCATGCGGATGGTTACAATAGCATTTGTTGTGAGTTTCCTCCCTTACCTTGTGATTGTCACGTTGCGGTATTCTAACACCGACATACCGACTAAACTAAGTAAAGTGGAACAAATATTTTACAATGTGTTTTTAAGGACCTACTTTGTGAATTCAATGATAAACCCTTTTATTTATGGATTTATGAACACGGAGTTTCGGGCAAAAATTAAGCAGATGTTTTGTGCGTTTTGCTCGAGACACAACATCGCAGTGTGAAATATGGTTGAACATGCAAATACTAACTTTACATTCATATTTATTTCACATCAAATTTTCAAAATCCAAAGGTTTTTGGTACATGAAGTTAGATTATAAAGGGTAATTTCTTCTGAAGTAAACTTGAAATTTCATGATATTTTGTTCACAAAGTCAAATATAAAAACTTTCTTTATTATTGCATTTTTTTTATAATGAAATTTTTTATTTGAGGAGAAGTTTGTATGACATTCAAATAAACGGCCGCTTTAAACAGGGTTTTCAATTACAATACAAATTTTTCAGAGAGTATCTAATTATTGTTTGCTTTCTACGTTAAAAATTTAAGCTTGCTACGTTATGTAGTTAACTATAACTTTTCAAGCTTGCAGCGTTCTAGCTTGCTACGTTTTATAGCTTGTTCTTTCCCTTACTAGCTTGCTAAGTTTCTAACTTGCTTCGTTACTTTTTCTACCTTAATACGTTTTCTTGCTTCCTAGTTTATAACGTTACTTTTTCTAGCTTGCTACGGATTCTAGCTTACTACGTTTTTAGTTTGTAACATTACGTTTTCTAGCTTGCTACGTTACTTTTCTAGCTTGCTATGTTTTCTAATTTGCTACGTAAGGTTCTCTATCTTGCTATACACAATAAAAGTTATTAATTCATTGTAAGAAAGCAGTACCGTGTCTTAACACTAATGTTCACAATGAACATACAGAAATTAAAGTATGACATACAATGTAATATTCATGTTTTGTTGTAGCTATTATTTAAAACAAATATTTATCTAACTTTTAACATAAAACTCTGATTATTAGAAATGTTATGTGATTGATCGACTCTTCAGTATTATGGTCGACATGTTGGAAGCAGTATTGACGTTATTATTTTACTGTACATAGTGGAATTTATTATATAATTTGTCATACGAGTATTGTCAAGATTTTTAGAAGAAAATATATAGACTGACTAATATTGTAAATTTCTCCATATGTTTCTTTTATGCTAGAATTTTTCACTTTTAACAACTATTTGAATGTGCGTAAAAAGTGTTTGTTACTGAACAAGAAACAGTACGTGACGTCACCAACCGATTCGTGAAGGGAACCTTGTGATACTTCATACATTTCCGGTCCGATGAGCACCTTAGCTAAATCAAGTCTTTTTATGGTTGTTCTCAAACATTAAAAATGTCTACAATGAATTAACTATTAATTGCCACTCCAAGTTAGGTAACAAAATAAATTACCTAGCAATTATCTGATAAAACAAGAAAAAAATGTAGCAGACGACAAATTGTTTCTAAATTGCATTGAATTTCAGTTGACAGTGTCGTCTTATTCCACCCGTTGAGTTAATTAGACAGGGCAATGACTAAAACATTTATTTAATACTACGAACTAGCTAATCGAACATTCCCACGTAATAAAGAAGTATCAAGGCCTTCGTCTTCACATCTAGATCTCATGCATACTTCACGCCTAACGAATGAATAAAATCGAGAAATGTTAATTTGGATAAAATTATGTGTATCACTGTTTTGTAACAGCTCTTCTTTGTGAAGTCTCAAAAGATATATACTGTACGTGACCCTTGGCTGATACTTCGCCATGTCAGCAGGTGCCGTAAATTACCCTTCGTTTTGTTAAATAAAAAATACCTTTAATAGTAATACTTATGTTAGATTCATTTATAAAATATGTTAAATTAGATGTCAAATAAAAGAAATGTTTTCTAAAAAGGATGCTTTAAGAGGACTTATCTGGGTTTTTTCTCACAAACACACGTGGGGATGTTTCAATTAATATCTTTCATCAAATTTCTTTCCACTCTTTTAGCTAAATAACAAAAATGAACAATAATTTTGAAGATTTTAATCTGTGCGAGGGTACAATGTTACAAGAAATTTAATCTAAGGAAAAAAAATGTTGAACTGAAACATATCATACATATACATACACTAATACATACTTAAATTTTATTAAAAAGTTATTTGTCTGTGTGGGGGGGGGGCTAGGGAACTGAAACAGATTAGCATTCAGTAAGCAATCTTCAACTTACTCTGCCTTTATCATGTTTATAGTTAATTGAAATTTTTCAAAGTCCTAATGTATCTTTTATACATACTTTATTATTTAGAGATGTTCCATTTGCGTTAAAATGTAAATGAATGGTAATTGACTAAGAGTTTGAAAGTGGACTGAGGGTGCGTGCATGCGTGCGTATGAGTGGAAGTGTCGGGCAGTTGGGGATTTGTTCCAAAAGTGCCAGTAGTAAAGGTAAGAAAGCTGATGAATTTCTACAAAAATGACAGGTAAATGGCGGGTAATGTTCATGCACATTTTTTCAGTTAGTTATATGGAGCAGAAAAACTTCAATGCTTTGATAATGTTTCAAACTTTATATAAATTCGTTTCAAATACATCTTTTTTTAACATAATATAGATAATGTGTGAAGTTCAACTATGTTGTGACTTTCTTAGGACTGCCCACTTTGGCACCTAAAAAAACAAAGACGAATAAGTTTAAAGTCATAGTACAAGCATATCTCAAATTAAATTCACCAACATGAATAAGCTTAATGAAAAGATTGTCTGCGTGTTTTAAATAAAAATTACCGAAAGCTCTGTGTGAATTATAAGTAACTGCCCTACAAAAGAAAGGCTCTTCACATTTTCGTGATCTGTTTAGTGCTCGAAACAAAGCTAAAACATGTAAACACAGCTTCTAAAACTATCCATTTTTAGAAAATATGCTTATTTTTTTTAAACCTCATCATTTTAGAATGCTAGTTCGATACGAAATATCCCAAAATGATGATCTTAGAACTTTTACTAATTATTAACGTGTGTGTTTCCTATTAATACGTTGTGATGCATCTTCAGTTATTTCATTATCGTTTATCGAAGATACTAACTCGCTCAACACAAAAAACACGTTTCACAGAGCTTGATGTTTACATTTTTTTTAAATGTGATCGAGTCATCGACATGGTGCTGGCGCCATCGGCAATGTGAAAGAGCTCTCGCAAATGTGACGGAGCCAAAACAACTAAGAATAAGTTTCGATATTGTGGAATCATTCCGATTTATATTCATGGATTGACTAAAGGAGAATTTCAAAATTGTATAAGATAGGTCCTTCTTTATCTACTACCGCACTATATGTATCTGTCAAAGTATAAAATGTGCCATTTTCTTCTTCATCACTGATTGGATAACTTTCTAGTTAAAAATTAAATGTTCTTTAAAGCGTTTCCTTGAAGTGGAATGTTAAATTTGCAAAAATAGTTTCTTTCATCTAGATAATTTGATTAACTTTTGGAAATTTGGTCCTTGGATGCGCATTCTTTTATTTGTTTTCGCCGATGTGGTGCGTCAAAGATTCATTCTTTGGTTCAGTGATCACTGTTTTGACAGTAACTTTTAAATAGCGTTGCATTGCTTTGGCGTAATGTCATTGAGCTACGTGAATTATTTACAGTTCATGCGAGGTAATTAATAAAATTGAAAGGAATTATGACAAACTGTAAACTTAATTAGACTTTAAACTGTTCAGTCACTGTATACCCCTTGATGGACATAATGTCACTTTAAACACTTCATGAAAGTTAGTCTGCATCAACTAATGCAATTCTGTCTAAAAATGATTATTAATCGCCAATATTGACTCCATCACATTTGCCAGGGCACTTTCATATTGTCGATGCCTCAATCACCGTATCGATGTCTGGATAACATTTGAATAAATGTAAGTATTTTATTTTTTACGAAGTTCTATTAACTAAGAACTATTTTCTGTGATGTGCCAAAGGTGAGGTAGGCACAATGTTACATGCAAGCTTATGTAGGTCAACATTAACTATATGGTAGGGAAATCACTAGAGGTGTGTCTCGCCGTAAAAGATAACACACCAGTTAATATTTTGTAGACGTTCTAGCAACGTCGAATCGACATTGCATCACAAATGAGAAGAAAAATGTTCTACGTGGCATAGTATTCTCCGATGTTTTGAAGGTTCTTTTTAGTCGGATGTGTTTACCTGTTTTAGCTATGTTTTGGCCGAGGGCTCTACATCAGAAGTTTCGTGGGCTCTCCTTTACACAGATCACAAAAAAGTAAAAAAGCCACTGTTTAGTAAGGTTGTAAACACTGAAACAATCTGGCTGCCTGATGAAATGCTAACGACTGTTCTAATAGATATAAATAACGATAGTAATAAAAACTAGGGCTTAATTGTATTCGAATTGTGACTGATAAAACAAATAAAATACTAATTCAAAATTTATGTAAAATACTTGCCAACATGGATAGCGACCATAGGGTCGTCTGTGTGGCCATTTACGTTGATATGTGCATTTCCAGTTCCATCCACATGAATCGTTTTTCCTGTGCACGAGCCATTGTCATAATTTCCACTGATGACGTCACAATAACTTCCAGATGGAAGTCCAGTATTTATGTTACTATTTATAGAACTTCCGTCACCAACAAGTGCGATGAATCCTTTATCTCCGCGTGAAAAGGAAATGGCCTGATCCCCGTATGAATGGAAATTTTTCAGGGACGTGCCAGCGACAACATTTCGGAACGCAACCATGTTGTAAACTTCACGCCATCTGTGTTCGCATACCTTTAAACAAACGCAAGTATAAACTACAAAATTGTTTTAAAGTGATACCTGGATAGGACGAGCGTTTGACTGTATCGGGCGACCCGGGTTCGATTCCGGTCTCTTTCGTCGTAATTGTTCATTAAACCTTTCTAGGGACATACGCACTGTACCTCAGATATGGTATGTACAGATATCGGTTGAGTTTCTTGTGAAATGTAAGTTGACCAGTAACGAATACGATACGTTGTCTGACCTGTGCTCTGGTGAATACAAAATGGCCTACTGCCTTTTTTCTGGAGGGTTAACTACCAACGCTACAACAAGTGGAACGTAGTTTTTATTGGACTTGTATCCAGGGATGGACTGATAAATGGCCTAACACTCTTAGATATGATGCCGTTCATCATTGTGACTATGTTTTATTGATAGAATGTTTCTGCTTTTTGTATTTGTATATATGCAAACAGGCCTGATAATTAGCGGAAAGAAAAAGAACGCAGCCATATTCTTTTATACTTGGTGGTGTAAGGGTTTCATTACCGCACAATTGTTTCCAAATCAAACGATTATGATTCTTAAAATAATACTAAAATAATTATAAATAAAACTATTTTAGTATATATTACTTTTATCTGCACAATATTATTATACATTTTTTGTATGATGATGTGGTGAATATCAAAGGTTATGAACCTGGCTAATGCCATATTCAACGAGACCAAAGTATATTCACCAAATATCATAAAATATTCATACAATAACTGTTAAAGCATTCATATCTTATTAAACACATTACTTGTAACATACATATCTTAATACATAACATTTTATTACACACAGATATATTATAACATACAAATCTTATTGCATTCTTATCTTATTGCATACATATCTTGTAATATACATATCTTAATACATTACATTCTATTACACATACATCTTATTTCATAAAAATCTTATTGCAAACATATCTTATCACATACAAATATGCTTCCTTACACACATATATTATTGTGCACATATCTTATTACACACATATCTATTACATAACATATCTTACTACTTACACTTACAATAAAAAATAATAGTTTTTTGGCATTTTACATTGAAATTACACCATTACAAATATTATTAACAATGAATATATATTTAAAATGTACAAATATCGGATTATGTAAAATAGAAAAAGGATGATTTGTACTAAATGAAATTTAAATCATTCGAAATAAACAAATTATTATTTACCCAATCGCCAGCACATGTCATGTCAGAGTTGATACCAACAGACTGTGTGCTCATGTCTCCATTGTGGGGTGGTCCTTGCCAGTTATTTTTGTCATCTCCACCTTGTAAGTTCCTATTTACGAACACAAATGATACAAATGAAAGTATTTTTAATTGAAAATGTGAAATAGATGTATAAAGGCAACAATGCAAATTAACAAGAAGTGGTAAATAAATAACAAATTGTTCAAACTCTCAGGCTAAGAATTTTACCCCTCAATGTAGTCCAACTAATAGTATGATACGTTGAGATATTGTGCTATTTTTATGTATGGGCAATTATATATAAATCCCCGATATACTGTAAGCTTAATTCTGACCCAGAACAAAAAGTTCTCAGATTCTAGCTTTGGCATGTCAAAAAGTTTTGGATACTCCTCACTGCTACGTGTTTGAATCCAGCTAGGTCGCTGGATTCTTTCATGCAATTGAGTTACCATCTTCTCCTTATCTGCCCACTTGAGCCTGTAAGACTGCATATATTAAAGCTGAAAGTTCGCCATAGGCGGGACGTCAACAAATTTTAAGCGTATCACTTTTGAATGCTGCTTGAAAGACTTATAGGACAACTGTGATCTGAAAGATCAGAAAAATGCTGTGTCTGTATTTAACACCATTGTGTGCATACATAAAGAATTGTTACCTGTTCCAGCGATAACTACTCATTATCCTCGGGAAGCCATAAGGATGAGCAAGCATAAAAGCTGTTGCAATTTTCATCGGTTTCGGATCCCAGAAGGTGATAGGTGCACCTTTAAAATAAAATCAGTTACATTCAAAAAGATACAATAAGTAATGCATCAATGGTTTGTTTAAAAACGAATTAAGCAAGGTTGTTACGGCTTTTGAATCCCAGTGCAAAACAATCATTGGTTAATATCCAAAATAGGGCCATGGCCATTATCGATTCTCATGCCTCTTCATCATTTTGTTGTTGTTGCTAATGATGTTCTTCTCTCTCGTTTCTTATGACTTTAAGAAATTCCCTTAATGCAGGCTGATATACTGTAATTAATGTCTAAAATTTTACTTAGAATTCATGTGTTAAATGACAATTGAGTAGTTAATAAAACCGGATTAATCGGGTTTTTTCTATTATTTAATATAACCAATAAACATGAAAAAACTCTTACCGCCACCTCCATGACCTCTCTGGTTGTCATGGTTACTTAAGAACACAACAACGTCATATGTACTAGGCATTCCCCACCCTTCACCGAAGTTACCAAGCCATTTTGCTTGATTTGAATGTCGGAGGAAAACGTCTGCTAGTTTTACCCCATATATAAAGTTGGTAACTCTTCCAGTATTGAAATATTCGGACATTTTAATGGGTTCCCCGCCCTGGTCGATTACCTCTTGAAATACAAACGGTTTCTTCCCGGACCCAAAGGCATCGCTCCTTAAATTATGAAGTCTAGAAAAAATATTTTCTAGATCTCCTGGCCACATGTGTTTCGCTGCATCGACTCTAAAGCCAGCTACGCCCATACCAACAAGATGATTCAGGTACCCGGCAATTTTTCCTCTAACGTAATCCTTTGACAGTCGGAGATCTGCAAGACCAACAAGCCTGCAGTTGCGAACCTCTTCGGGGTTGTTGTAATTATGGATTGAACCGTCACTTGTATGGCAATTGTCACCACCATTGCAGTCTTGACTACCGAAAGGCACACCAGGAAAACTGCAGCTTCCTCCGTCGAAATGGTCACCTGCAGTTCCGGTACCGGAGTAACTTCCGGTCATGTGATTTATAACGGTGTCGACATAAATTCTGTTTTGAATAAAGTTCAATGAAAGAAACTAGGTAAGAAATTAGAGAATTTAGGACAACACGTCAGAAATGTTTTAGAATAATGTGATGTATTATATATCTGAAACCGAAAGAGATCTTTTGCCATGAGGAATATCTAATTTGTTGGTAAAAAAAATAATTTAAATCATTTCTAACAGTATGTGAAATCATGTTTCATTACGTATGATGTGAACCTGCCTATTTCTTCCACAAAAAAACATTATAAAGATATATATATCAAACAGCTGCATAGTAACTTAGCTGAATATCCATACGAATTTGCTTATTAAAATATTCATGAGTTTAGAAACATTATTTTGAAACAATGTGTAGCTACAACATAACGAAACATTTTAAGGACATTTACCTCACACCGGCTTTGTTACACGTGGTTACCATGTCCCTAAATTCCTGTTCATTTCCACTTCTTGATATTATCTTATAACTAACGGGCTGGTATCGTTCCCACCAAGGCCGGTTTGGATTAGTGACAACTGCGTTCTCGTTCGGGGGTGACACCTATCAAAACGCCAATAACATATATCCTGATAAAATGTTTAAATACATTCACATGCATCCTTGCTATGTCTTTATTTCAAAATGATACCTTTAGAATCATTCGTGTTATTGTTGCGTTTTTTATACTCCTCTGGGAGCATACAGGCGCCGTTTTGTCCTTCCGCAGGACCTTTGGTCTTTCCTCAAGTTTTGCCTTGTAACTTCATATTTCAACTAATACCGTTAAGTAGATAATTTGATTGGTCCAATTAATCAAAGCGGAGTTTGGAGGCACTGGGGTCAAGGTCATGATTGATTGTGCTCTAAATAGACGTTTATATTTTTCTCATACAACCTGTATCAATTGAATGTAATTAATTGAAATACATTGACAAATTTGCATGTTCAAGAGTGTGGCCGATCGTCTTTAGCATTATGTGTATTGCTATTTTTATCAAGATAATCTAAATGTTGATGACTTGTATGGGAATACATTTTACAGTTGTTTCTTTCAAGTTTGCAAAACAAAAAATAAATATCGTAAAGGCAACATGTTCAAATGCGGCATAAGATCATAATATCTTGTAACTTACATTTTCTTTTAACAGTAAAAGACATTTAAGAAAGCAAGCCGTAGTATTCCTTATACTTATACTGCGTGGCAAATATACATGCATAAAAAGTGTTATCTTTATTTAGTATTGATAAAGTGTGTTACCTGAACGCCACAGTATCCGTATGGCCCTAGAAACCTCTGGCATTCAGCTTTGATATCAGACCACTTCCATTCAAACAAATGAACTATGGAATCACGACCAGACGCGCAATGCGGGTCACTGTATGGACCAGCGACCAAAGCTAAAATATGAAATGTATCACCGAAAAGAAAATATATCTGTATCTGCCATCAATTAGGTTGAATCAGATACTGTCCTTATGTGTTGCCTGACACATTAATTTATTGAACAATCAAACATTACAGTTCGTCAATTTACATTAACTTTTATATTAACAACCAGTTTGATTTCATTATTTTTATATTTCTAAAATATCTAAATTAATCTTAATTTTAAAAATACAGACAGCTAAAAAGAGAGAAAATTTTACCTTGCGGAACAATTACAGTAAAAAATACTGAAGCGAAAATAAAACGCATCTCTTCCTCTTCAAAACGTCTGCGAGAGCTGACAAGTGTCAATGATCTTATATAAATTCTTCTTATCAACCCAGACTTTAGTATCTGTTCTACTTTCACACCTCATATTGTCCTTATAGTTTGAGCAATACTCATCTGATAAGATTAATCTACTAAAAGAATTTAAATAATTTCAAACTTTGAAAAACAACAAACCGAAGGTGTCAAATGTCATTTGATTTAAAAAAAAAAATAACTCGTTACTGATTCTATTACTTTATGTACATAGCATTTATATACACATGTTTCTTTCATGCGATGAAGCTATCAAGTTAGCTTACGGAACGTCTGTGGTTCTCATGACTTTATGCAAAGAGAGGGACCTGGAGTCTTTCTCTGATCGTGTACCTGCGATGTGATACCCGGAAACCCAACAAACAAAACGACCAAAGATAAGTTCAATTTTATTCTCAATAAAACTACATGTCAAATAAAAACTAGTTTCATCAAATCAATGATTAAATAGGGCTTATCTTTATTTTCTAACAAGTATACATGGACACGTTTATAAAGGAGGTCTTTGTTTGTTTATTTTTTGTTTTATTTCAATCTTTAATTGTTTATTGACCTTTTTTATTTATTTTTTGCAGAGGTCGCCATTACGTTTATACCGTTTGGTGTATATCTTTATAAATGATATACAAATTGTTAGCTGTTTTTCTCGATAATTCCAGAATAATTATTTTTATTGACTGTGCAAAATGACTAGAAAAGAGGGTTTTTTTTTTATTGAATCGGGCTTAAAGTCGTACTAAATATCGATTTACAATTTAATTCTGAGTACATATCTTGAACAATCTTAATCTTTTCCATATTTTCCTATTTAAAGTGTCCCGTTCGATCTGTGTAAGATTTCTAAATACTATGTGTTAAGCAACTCTTAAGCTACTTTGAGATCGTATTTTTAGCCATATATTAAAATAATCAAAGGGCTGCAGCTCTATGGTATTTTCTGATTTTTGCAATCTAAATCATACTGACTATCTGTATGTACTTTCCTGTATAAGTTTATTTTTATATACTATAATTCATCTTACGCAGCGACAGCGTTTTGATTTTCTTCTATAACAGATTGAGATGGATACATATGGAATTTTGCATGAAAAAAAAATAGAATTGCCTCGACTAGGATTTGAACCATAGGCCTCTCACACCCTCAACGAGACCGCTTACCTCTGCACCACGGCGAGGTTATACATATGTACCTTGAATAAAAACGAATACATTATGTAATTCTAAATTGAGAATTTCCATTTCGTGTTTGTAATCCTTATTAATTTCGAGGTATTTTGTTCACGATAAACCTGTTGTTTACCACTGATGAAAATAATTTAGTGAAAATCTTCTCGCCAAAACAGTCCGACATGTATATATTCCACTACTCGACAGTCAGATTTATTTGTGTACTACGCTCTGGAGTATTCGGTAATACAATGTAAACGGTTACTGCATGAGGTCTTGAGAGTGGTGGATAAAAGTGAGTGGATAGGGTGGAGTGTGGGATAGGGTCTGTTTCCAGATGTCTGTGAGACTTGCATTGATGGTAAATTGATCGGTACAAAGATAGGCCAGCTTTAAAGTAAATGATGAATGTTTATAATTAGTGATATGTCACGAATTTTCGTTGCATTTACTTTTCAGTTACTACCTTATATATGCGGAGCAGAAAACTACAATACTTTGATATTTTTCACAATTTTATATATATATATATCGTTTCTTGTACATCTTTCTATTATTAATAACATATCATAAATAACATTTTGAAGTTCATCTATGTTGTGACTTTCTTAGGACTGCCCACTTTGGCACCTAAAACATCAACAAAAATGCTTATCTAAAAGAAGAAATAAGTAAACAACCGTGTTGCATGTCTACCTGAAATAATTTGAAAGAATTCGCTTAATGAAAAGAATGCCTAGGTCTTCTAAACAAAATTACTTAAATATTTTTGTGTGAATATTTTTATTTTTGGCTTAATGAAAACGAATTGGATGTCGTATGAAATTGCTAACAACATTCATATGACATGTACATGTAAGATGTTCAGTTAAATGTAATATGAAATGAAATTGCTATAATAGATAAATAATACTAGTTCAATATTTATGTAAAATACTTGCCAACATGGATAGCGACCATAGGGTCGTCAGTGTGGCCATTTACGTTGATATGTGCATTTCCGCTTCCATCCACGTGAATCGTTTTTCCTGTGCACGAGCCATTGTCATAATTTCCACTGATGACGTCACAATAACTTCCAGACGGAAGTCCAGTATTTATGTTACTATCTATAGAACTTCCGTCACTAACAAGTGCGATGAATCCTTTATCTCCGCGTGAAAAGGAAATGGCCTGATCCCCGTATGAATGGAAATTTTTCAGAGGCGCGCCGGCGACAACATTTCGGAACGCAACCATATTGTAAACTTCACGCCATCTGTGTTCGCATACCTTTAAACAAACGTATAAAATATAAATTAAAGGTGTTCGAGGTTATACGTTAGAACCGTCCTGTTACCTGAAAAAGCATGACGTTGAACTGTATTGACCCGGGTTCAGTTTGTTCAAATTGTATTTATAGAATATTTTGTATTTGTATATATACGAACTGAGCTGATAATAAACGAAATGAAACTGAACGTGGTCATAGTTTCTTATGCTGGGAGAGTAAGGGCTTCATTGGAATCCAGAAATGTGCTCAATAGTTTCCAAATCAAACAACAAGAAATTACTATTAAAATAATACTAAAATAATAAGAAATAAAACTACATTTGTATTTTAGTATGTATTGCTTTGATTTGCACAATATTATTTTACATTTATTGTATGATGATGTGGTGAATATCAAAGTCTATGAACCTGGCTAATGTAATATTCACCTAGGCCATCTGCAAAAGGATTTTCACCAAATTCTTTATTATTACATGACCAAATTAAAATTCTTCATTTGGTATGATCGTATAACAAACATATCTTTTTACATTATTAATATCTTATTGCACATAATTATATCCCATAACATATCTTTCTGCATACATATTCAATTGCACACGTATCTTATTATATACATATCGTAAGACATATATATTTTATAACACACATTTTTTCATATATACATATATTACTGTAAAACACTTATTTTTCGCGAGAACCTTATTTCGCGAATTAGAGGCAAAATGTCAAAAATAATTATTTCGCGTCAACATGAATTCGCGTCTTCCGAAAAATGTGAAACCGGAAACCCGATGTCTTTCGAATATTTTCTGTCCTGTCCGTTCACTAACTTTGCGTCGTTTATTGTGCGACAAATGCATTTATATCTGTATCGATTTTTCTGATAGCTTGCTAATGAAACCGTCTGTCTAAAAATATGTCAATAAAGTTTGATAATTATTTGATGTTTGTCATGTATTGTCCCTGATTATACTACGTGCCTCTAGCATTGTTACTAGTAATTCTAGTATTGAATGTTTCGTATCACGTTCTAGTCTGCCGTACTTCTGTGATGTCTAGTAAAAAGATTACTTCGTTCTTTAAGAGGGCGTCTATGACTGACAGCCGGCTGCCCGTACCAGAGACATCGGAGGAGACTTTAGCCAATAAGTTCGTTGAAGATGCCACTGATCGTGCTAGTACATCTGGAAAACGTCCAGAAAATAAATGCAGAGAATGAGATGATCAAGCGTGGGTGGTTGCAGGCCGGTATTGTTCAATAGACATTGACCTTGATAAATTGTGTTGGAAATTTAATTAATTCATTAAGTTGGACAGATTTTCACATTAATTATAACAATCTGTAGAAATACCATTAAAATTTGTGAGACGCATTAATTTGTTTATACTTAATTCTAGTGCAAGTCACAGTTACCTTCCTTAACACAGGTAATATGCAGCGAAGAAGTTTTTTCTTTCCAATTCCTCAATAATACCAAATTGTTACAGGTAAATATTTCATACTAGTAATTTGTACGATATGTATATGCTGCAACACTTGAATAGCAACATGATGTAACTGGAACTGGTTTCGATACTTTCCCGCAGATATATATCCATGTGTACGCATTTTCGGATAGTGTTCATTTTCGGACAAGTGTATAGACAAAGTGAAATATTCGCGAGAAATATGAATTCGCGTCTTAGAAAACTCGCGAATATTAGCGAAAATAAATTTCTCGCGAATAATAAGTGTTTTACAGATATTACACATATATATTTTTACTTACACTAACAATAATTATAGTTTTCCCCTTGACATTTTACATCAAAGTTAAACAATTACAACTTTTATGAACCATGAATATATAATTAAAATGTATGAATATCAGATTGTATAATATACTACTCTAAGTAAGCACCAAGAGTAATTTGTACCTATATCTTATGTTGTATTTCAAATATAAGATTTAATATGACATAGCGATTTATAAACATCATTAACGAATTTGTGACCAACTGTAATGTGTTTTTATGTTGATTTGTTTTGATTGTAAATTTTGTTTCAGACGGATATGGTCGAATTTGTGATAAACTCATTTTTTTGCCCCCAAAAATTTGCAAATAACTGATTTTGCCTTCATAGCGAGTATGTGACCCAGTGTTGTCAATGAAAGCTTGGCACCGTCGCTGCATACTCCCTATCTGGTTTCTTAGGACGGCTTGTTGGATGGTATTTCACTCGTCGACAAGGGCGGCACCAAGCTCCTGGGTACTTCATTGCTGGAGGTGCCAGGGGGCGTGGAAAACTTGCACTTTCCAGTACCGTCCATGAACAGGCTCAATCAAACCGAGCCTGCAACATTTTCAATTTTGCCGTGTTGGGCTTTCTTTAGGGATTCTGTATTTATCTATTTTATGATCACATCCGTGTTATTTGTGCCGTGTGGCGGCTGTAAAAAGTCTCCCCGTACATTTAATCAATGATGTTATATTTTCGATCCTTGAAGATCGTTCAGCACGACATTATTGTTGTGCTTGTGGTATTTTTAGTTTCAACTTTTCGGCATTTTCTAGTTGGGTGGATCCAGTATTCCTACTTGAATAATGTTGAATCACCCTTA